TTTCTTTTTTTATTGCACTTTAAGAAAGTCTGAAAAATCGGTCGATGCTTACTGAATAGAGAATTAATCGCTCTACAAAACTGTTGAGCTGGACTCCCAAACAAGACAAAAGTGCCTTACTGTGAGCTATTTTAAGCGTTTCAGTCATCGCCTGAGGGGCACTTGTTTTTTCACAGTGTGGAGATGCTTCCATCTCCAGAAATGTAATTGGAAAATTATCGAAGATACTTTGTTGTAAAGAGAACACTACACTCTAGCAGACTATATATGAGTAAAAATCTCTTAAAAACTAACAAAACTAAAACATTGAATTTCTTCAGCCTTTCAATCGGAAACTTAAGAAATTCATTATTTTTTCGAAATGGGTCGTGAAATGATATAACTTTTGTAGCTCAAACTTTTCTCTACAGTAAGATCCATTCAACTCAAAATCGAAAATTGTCTACAAAAATACAGGATAAGGGTATCCGAAAGATCTTTGAATCGTTCTCTGTAGAAGTTTGAATCCTAGTTATCTCAGTCTCAAATAGAGAGAGGAGAAAAAACGTTTGACATGCTCTTTCTGCCTTTTCTGTTTCTTTCCTTTTTTTTCACAATATTACAACAGCAGGTAAAAGTACTCGGAATAAGATTTCTGCCATATAATAAGTAACGATACATCTGGTTATAATCCATTATAAAGAAAAAAAATCGTGTCAATAAAAATAGTAAGTTACGTATGTACTGTACAACTACTATGTTGTTCAAGAAAACGTAATAATTCCCTATAATTAAATACCAATAAGGTCACCTAAATATCTAAGGTTCCATTCAATAGTTATAAAAGTATAACTATACATTGTTTTCGATAATATTATTAACAAATAAAGTAGAGATGTGCAAAGCAAGCGGAATGAAGCATCGAATATACACGTTGGATAAAGTGCCAAAAGTACACATCTTTAAACTGAACACATGACACCAGGAGTCATAATGAAATAAAACGAAACAAAAAATCTATACTGTAGGAGTGAAGCAGCAATCCTATAGAATATTCTAATATTAAAATCTTTACTTGTGATCTGAAAAAGGTCATATATTTTCAATGATCTTACATGAAACATACACTAAAGGATAAGAGATAAATTTCTTGATAAAGCTAACTGATACTACTGTATTAAAGAAACTTTACACTTGAATAACAGAATTAAAAAATATAAGTTAAATTAAGACAACCTTTTAATTAATTCTTGAGATTCAAACGTTGTTGATGAGTTAAACAATGCCTACAACTGATTCTTTTCCTCTTCAATATCTGTCTCTACTACTAACTAACAGATTGTTTAGAAACATGAAAATGTCAAGTTCTTGTTAAGAAAACAAAAAATTGAAGTTGAATCGACTGAAAAAACATTGATGCTTTTTGATTTTTTAACGTTTTTTTTATAAAACATAATATATTTAAAAGAATTGAAAAGAAGTTAAGTAAAATCATTTTACATACAAAAAAATTGATTCATTCTACTGATTCAGTAGTCTTGTCTGATGATGATACTGTAATAGTGTTGAAAGCTCACTTTTTTATGTTTAAAATCATTTTACTTAAATTCTTTTCAATTCAATTAAATATAGACTGAAAAAAATTAGTTGAACGAAAGAATAGTGTTCATTATGCATAGACAGTAGAGATAAAAAGATGTGCATCTCTCAGACTAAAAGTGATCATTTTGGATATATTGGGATAATTTAATTCTAATTAATAAATAATTTTCTCTTTCCGCACCATCCCAGCAACTCTCATGGAGTAGATCGGTCATAGAATCAACAGTATAATAAAAACTCGAAGAGGTCTGTTTGGAATCTAACCGCATATAAAACCTTATACTTTAGAACATATTCATCATCTTATGAGCAAGAGATATCTTATTATAAAAACAGGTGTTGGTCGATTGGATTATTAATCACCAGATATGCACTCAGAAACGTCATATTTTTAAAAATCTCTTCACAAAAACAGAACGAAATAGTTTTCTCTCATATTTCAAATAACGAGAGATAGAACGAATATTTAAACGATACAGTCTAAGATACGTATCAACTTCGTACATATAAAATATCAATAATTCTGTTCTAACTTGACAGCAACGGTATAGGCAACTGTAGATATTCTGATATTTTTTATTTCGACTAAAAGATGTACATTATTCCGTATTTCAATTATCTTTATGCTTTATTTACCATATCATACGCTTATTTAGATTTATCGAATTTTAACTTATGTTCACAAAAACCATGGCCTATATTTAAGATTGCTATAACATTTGGTGTATCAAAAATATGAAAATTAGCTATAGAATATGTTATAAAATCTATGTTTGATGCCGACAATTGATCTATGCTGAAAAATCCTGCCTTATATGATCAAAGATAATTATATTCTTATTCAAAACGTTTATGATGTATGGTTTTCTTTTCTGTTCCTTTGTTATATTTTTTTTTTCGTTTTGTTTTTCCTCGATTCTTTCGTTGTATTTTTTTTTTTTTGTATCATAAGGTTCCGCATAGACTCAATCTTTCTTTTTATTACTTTCTAGTAGAAATAGGTTTCATATAATAGCCATATGGGTATCAGTTTCGAGGGTTATTTGAATGCAATGAGAAGTGATGATTTTTTTTCATTCGTTTTTTTTTTATTTAAAAAATGTTAAATTGTACGAAACGGAAAGAAACAGTGATTTTGACCGTGATGGTATGATATGTCAGAAATTACCAATTTTTATTGAAGACAATCTGTTGTTTTAGGTAAGATAACTGGAAAATAATTTTTTCTTTTACAAATTATAGGACATCACAAAGTTTTCAGAAGACGTGTTGTCATGTGAATTTGTTGTTTTTCTATTTTTTTTAAAGAGTCTACAGATATATGCAACAAAATCTATCAAAATAAAACACTCAAGTATAAAAATAAACTATTAGTAAAGATTATAGCAACTGTTGACCTTGATCTCTGTCAACTTGATATAAACGAAGAGAAGAAAAAGCAAATAAATTCAAAAAATAATTTTAAATAAAATGACAAATTGTTTCAGTAATAATTAAAGTTTGTATGAAGAAAATAAAAGTGATGGTGAATTTTGCAAAATGGATGCATATGAAAATTGATTGAGTGACAAGATGTTTATACAGATCGATGAGTCAAGATAAAAAAAAGAAATAGTGTAAACATATCTACATGCTTGAAGAATTTATCTTTGGCATGATCTAAACAAATTTTAAAAAAGAATAATGAATATATAACAACCTCTAAAATGATAAAAATGTACTTTTGTGTTAATTAAGGGTCTAATATACAAAAAAGAATTTATTAGTAGAGATAAATTGTCGGACTAATTTTGAACACTTTCTCACTCAGTGATTGAATATTAGAATATTATTTGTCTAAGATTAAGTATAACACCGGTCGACATCAGTTCACTTCTATGGCGTGCACTATAATCTTTAACAATTTTTTACTAGTTATAAAAAAAATAATAAAATTTTGAGAAAAAAAAAAGATAATATAAACTTTGTACAAATTGTGTCCAAGTAGTATGTAAGACTAAACTATAAATATATAATTATTATAGAAGACGACTTCATATTTTATAATCAAATAATATTTAAATATACGCTAACACTACTTCTAAATGTCTAATGGAGCATAACACTTAGAGAACAACAACACAAAAAAAAAACCTTTTTTCTTTTCAATCGTTGATTATACTTGAAATTTTAAATGGGACTAATAGGTATAGACAGACACACAATAATATAGAGTAAATAAAAAAAACACAAAATTTGATTTCCACCTGAACAGAGAAAAGTAAGCAACCATCATTTTTCCTATGGTAAAAATATATTGTTCTACAACATTAAAAGTATGCTTAACTATCTGCTTATAGTTTTGTGAATCTTTCTCATTTCTCATTAACATTATGTTACATATAACGTATACACTTACTATAACGAACTGTACAGTAATAAAAAATAGAATTGGAGCGTGTACTTTGTCTTATGTTATTATGTTATCTGGAAACTATGATATGTTAATTATTGCTAAGGCGAAAACAGAATAATAATTTAAGAGCGTATAATATGAAAATTGCTGAAAAATTTCGATTAATTAGTGTTGATTTTCACAATATATTTGTCTTCTTTAAAAATATGTGAATGTTTGTTGCAATCGATGTATTCCCATTTTGTCAACTCATTAATTTTTTTCCTAATTCGTCGACAACATTTTGGAGGGAGAGAGATGAAAGATGTTTGTGAGCCACTGATACTATAAAATGTCGACGAATCAGGAAAAAAATTAATTAGTCGACGAAACAGAATCGAACTGTTGCAATCACTTCTCATGTAATTGAACATGTATAATGAAGAAAATTAGTTTTTCACTTTCAAAGTGACTCGATTGAGAAAAAGAGACATTGATGATATGTCTCTATTATCAAAAAAGATATTTTCTGATTAAATACTTAACAATCTTTATTCAGTAAGTAAACTACATGAAAATGAAACCAAACAAATAGTCGACTTCTTTAGCTTTAAGGTTTGATGCGTGATTTTTTTCATATAATACCACACTTTGATGTCATCATCATCATGTATATCAAGAAAATGTCAAACATTTTTCTTTTTATTTTCATTCCAAATATAAGAACTTTCAACAATATGTATGTACAAGAGTCAAAATAATACCCAATAACCAAAATAATGATGATATGCAGTTGGAACATTACATTCTATTGTTAATTGGCTGTAATCACTTTCTCGTGTGTGTGTGTGTGTGTATATACATATATATATATATATATATGTGTGTGTAAACGCACACACACACACATAAGAAAGTGAATATGTATATGTTTGATTTCATCGACCATTAGTCCCATCGTCTTGTATACGCTTTTGAAAAAAAAATATATTGTTCGATTATTAACATTAAACAATTCTTTATAATTGACGGGTAAGAGTGAAATATGCGTCTACCAGAAGAAATTTGTACAATGATAATTATATATAGGATGAGACACAAAGTCTAAATTCATCAGAGTTCTTAAAATAACAAGGATCGAATGATGCAGAAAAAAATAGGAAAAGTAGCAAATAAATCTAAACGGTAAGAAGATAACCTTCAACTGCCTGACAAGCAGACACATTCACTCTGTTATTGACAGAGCGTTGTTTTTCGTCAATCCATGTGTATGTGTATTATATAAATTCTCTCTCTTTTCATGTATCGTTATCATATCACTGTACAGATGGCGTATAGTAGAGAAAAAAAAAGAATCCATAAATTGAAAGTGGCACGATATTATTCAAATAACAATAAAGAAACATTCTTTGTTTCTTTCTTTTTCTCTTTAGTATTTCTTCAGTAACTCTTGTACATCCATCAACATTATCATCTTCAACTCATTATCCAACATCGAATACAATTTTACCATCAACTTCCTCCTCTAAAATGAATTGGCAAGCGTTAAGTCAATCTGAACCAAGTATACAATCGCGAAATTTTATAAATCGTTTTGCAACAGCAACAACAGCTATTGGAAAAGAAAATTATAATTCTTCATTAAAAGTATCTATTGGACATGAAACTGTAAATATTACAGAAATAGCGGCATCAAACGAGCGTAGACGCGCCCGACAAGGAGCAAATATACTTAGCCTCTGTTTTATGAGTTTCGTTTCGGCTAGTCTAATATTAATCGCTGTCTGTACGATGAATTTATTATCAAAAAATGACTTACCAGTGGCGTATATAACTCCATATCATCTTATTTCGAATAGTCCAATATTAACAGCACCAATTCAAATAAATCCATCACAAAATTTGTCTCCAATCGTATCTTCGACGTCGTCTCCGTCAATGACATTAGCTCCATCGTTTCCGTCTGGTTTTCTAATAGCGGCGGCATCCGGACATTATGTCGGATCAAATACAATAACGACAATGATACCGGTTTATTATCAATCTATTCGTGATTTAGCCACTGCAGTTTGTTTATTAATCGTGGTATTCAATTGTTTTTGTCTACTCGTATTCAGTATTGAGATTTATCTCGGATGTAATTATATTAAATATCGTCGAGGATCCGACAGGTATGTATCACTTCTCTTCAACCCAAATAATGGTCTCAAATATTTAAAAAAACAATCTTCCATTTCTTATTGAGTGTGAACGCCGAGTTACTGACAGTCTAATATATAATTTAAAACGGTTCACTCTCAAACTCCATACATAATACCACCATCTTTGAGGATTCTTTGAAAATTAATCGGAAATTAATCACAAGTGTCAGAAATTTGGAAACTAACGTTCAAAAACTACAATAAGTGAGACATTGATTTACATCGATTACATGAGTTGATGATACTTTTAACCTTTGCGCTATTCAAAATAACAATAACTGATTGTTATTCAAAATTTGAAGATACTGAATGATTTTTTCTTCTTCTAGTGGATTCAATTTCTTATTCAGCTCAGCCACATCAAGATTTATTGCAATATGTGGATTTTATGCATCAATCCCAGCACTTATTCTAGGTATGCTTGCTTCTAAGACGCTTTTGAACTCTTCAGTACCGAATCAAAAGATGAGAGAGTTATACAAACGTCATACAAAATCATAAATGTATGAAGAAATTTGATAATACTAGATTGTAATCATTGTTACTTTTGTTTTCTCTTTTCTTCCAGTAATGTGTCTGTATATACTATTAAGTATGTCATTAATACCTGCAATTGTCTCTTTAACAATTTTGGGACTCGGTTTAGTCTTCATTTTGATTACATTAATAGCACATTTGAGTAAATGGCAACCACGACCTATAATGAGTACAAAAATTGGTGTTAGTCCATACCGAACTGATCCACAATTTGTCGATGATGAATTGGATACCAAAGCAGACGAGTTGTCGACACTTGTATAAAAAAAGTTTTTTTTTGTTATCTAATTTTTCCGTTGTTCTATTTTTTTAGTTTTCTTTTTTCTAAATGTTTTGTTTGCTTTGTTTTAAAATATTTTTTAATGATAATAGAATAGAATGATGTTAGGATTCAGTTCAAATCGAACAATATGCTTTTATTCAAGAAGAGTCAAATGTCATCAAAAATTACGTTGTTACAGTGTCATTTCCATTTAGAGACAGTGTAACGCTCATATATACGTCAGGTCGAAGGACATTTGCTTTATTGTATCAAATATGATATTCTTTTAATTTTTTTTCACTTACTAAATGACTATGACTAAATTGACAAGGAAATATAAAAAGAAAAATGCTGTCACGCTTGAATAAAACGTAGGCGATCACGTGAACATATGAATCACAAAATGCTATAACTCAGGCACGAGAAGAGTACATTACATTTTACAGTATTCCAGAATAGACAATGTCCGCAAGTTACGCTGCCTCAAACATTGTAAGTACGAAAAGAAGTTTGAATAATCCTGATGTATTAGGAATATTGATACGATAGTCAGATTAGGAGAGGCAGTGCGAGAAATGGAATTTGGATGTGTTTCATACTTTCTCATTGCCGTTTATAGCCTTTCAGGTAAAAAAATGTCCTTCTACTTTTACGGTGGGCGTAAAAATTATTCATATGATGAGAAAACACTTTTAAATCGCTTGATATCTCAGATAAAAAAATTATTCGTATGACCGTCTTCTTCTCTTTTTCCCTGTGTCATGGACAACTCAGCGAGCTCTAACGTAGCCCACTCGAAAGAGCAATCTTGGCGTTTGGATAAAAAAATCCCTTTTTCAAAAACTTTAACATTTTCATTGAGAAAAACCCACCATAAAATTTTGAATGTCTTTAAAAAAAAGTCAAATTTGTTTATTTAAAACCAGACCATAGCTTCAAGTATACCAGAAGAAAGAGCATGAAAAACTCTTCAAGCTGCTTATTTTGAAACCTAAAAAGTTAAACTTCTATGGCAGTATTGAATGTATTTTTCTCTGATATGATCTTTAGGCTTTTTTCACAAATTTTGGAAGCAACATCTTTTCATCTAATTTAGACAAACCTAAAAGCCTTTTGATAAGCACAGTATAAAGAGCACAAAAGTCTCTTCAAGATGGGATGTAGAACTCCTCTCAACACTGTCTTAACACACAGTATTACATATAGCTACGAATCATTCTTTTCTTTCGAATTTTTTCATCAAAATAAAACATTTTTCCGTTTCTATTACCCGCTATTTTGATCTCCTCTACACAAAATTTGTATGAACAATTTTTTTGTCTAAGATATCAAGCGATTTTAAAACTCCTGATAGAAACTTATCAAGCTAGTGGATTAAATGTGACATATTAACTTTAGACAAAGTTGTCACATAGAACTATCTAATAGTGAAAATCTGGTCTTACTATGACCTGTTTAGGCCTGTAACAGTTCATGTTTCGTTTCTTGAACGTGAACGCTAAAGCACTGGTGAACGTGAGCTTTTTTATACGAACGATGTTCATATTGTCTGAAGTAAATATAAAATTCTGTTCTTGTACTGTAGTAAGAATATAGATTTCTACTTGGTTTTATCTGGTCAAATAGAAACTC